TGAGCTAAATCCCTGGCCCAAGCCTTGATTTTTTTGATCCTTTTGCCTCAGCCTCCCACCCTCCTTGGGATCACAGGAACACACCATTGTGCCCAGCTAGAGCTTGAATTCTTGAACTCTCCCCCAAATAGCTTCTAATCACAGTGACAGGGGTATAGGTCTCTCCTTTTTTGGGCACTGAGTCCCACAGGGTATTTGTAAAATTGCTGGCACCATCAGACAGCCCTTGCTAAATGACAGATTATTAGTGTTTTTTGTGCACTTGTCATTGGTTCTTTAGGTACAGCTGCCTCAAGAGATGTGATGAGTTCTCTCTAGCTAAGGTTTTACCTCTAAAGTATGCCCTTAGTGGCAGGAGTCTGGGTATCCAGAGGCCAACATATGAATCAACACTACCTGGGGCTCTGCAGTGTGTGTGTGTGGGGGGGCATTATTTCTAGAACTCCTATGACACCCACTCCCAAGGCTAGGGAAGAGGACGGAGGGAGAGAAGGCCCTCCTTCCTGTCATCTGCAGAGAATATATAGATTAGAAACCTCTTTGTCATTTTGGTGCTTGGAAGTACACTTGAGTTTGAGAAAACAAACACAAGAGGGAGAACTATCAGTTGGGAGGGAGGCAACTGCCTGGAGGATAGGAGGGGTACACAGGAGGCTCTGATGGGAGGTGGCAATCATCAGACCTTGATGCAAAGACTGACCCAACATCTAGGACTTAGGATGGAGGGGGCTTATTCAAGCACTCACCACCACTCATCACACTTCACTACAGCCCAGCCCCAGTTCCCCCAAATGGGGAAAGCAGATGGAGGCCCCTGTTCCCTTCAGCCTAAAATGCAAAGGCCAGTGATTCAGGCCTGGCTGGGTGCTCTGATGGGCGACTTCCTCTCAGCTCCCCCTTCTCTGGAGCCACAACAGTCGCTGCCTTGGTCCCTTCTAAATTCTTGAGCTCCCTGACTCAGCCTGGTACTGAATTTCCCAGCAGGAGACAAAGCTCTTGTCAGTAGGTGGTGGGGCCTGTGGGAACACTCTCAAGTTAGAGTCCCAGTCTCTTCAGACTCTCAGGTTCCAGGTCCTTGCCCTAGGCCTCACTCATAGAATCACCTCTCTGCCCCTTCCCAATTTGTCCTAACCTCCAAGGCCTAGCTGATTGGGGGGAGGGGGTGTTAGCTAGGACCTTCTTCCCAGCTGGACGAAGACTGACACCTGGTGGCCAAGGTGAGGAATGGCCTGAAGGCCCCCTTTCAAATCTTCCCAGAATTTATCCAGGACTAGGATGGCCTAGGTAAAAGGAAAGGTGACCTGAAAAGCTGTGGAAGATGGTAGGAGCAGGGAAGAAGAGACACCAGAGACCAAGGAGAGCCTTCCCTTCCCCCAGATCCTGCCCTTTAAGCCCACTAAGCCAGAGAACCTGGATCAGGAAGAAGAGGGGTTATTGGGACGGTGGTGAGGGACAAAGAGGTGGTCTTGAATCTGGTCCACAGGGTAAGGGATGGGGCCCTGGGTGTGTGTACTGGGGTCTGGGGGAATGTTCATCTGACTGCCCAGAATCCCCTGAGCTAGCCTGGTTTTCAGCTCAGGGGGGATGGCATCACCTGAGGGCCTGTGGAAGGGGGATGCTGGAAAGGGGGAAAGAGAGCTGGATATGCCCCC